GGAGTGGAGAAAGCAGGCATCCTTGATGTGTGCCTTTGTTAATGACATAGCTCTCTGTCTTTTCTCCATTTATAATTAACTGTTCACTTTGTTATAGATGTTATTAATCCACTTTAAGTATCTCTCTCCTATTCTGTATGAGGACCTCTCTAACTTTCTGCCAGCATTGTAGCTGTGTTCCTGAGCTTGAAGATGCAAAGATATAGCATAACTTGGATCTTCTCTTCCCCACCCAATTTGGATCTTCTGCCAGCAGTGTTTAGCCATCAGAGCAGTTGTGCTTTGTCATTTAATCTCTGAGGCCAACCAGCAGAAGAGGGCCATGCCAGCTCAAGGTGATTTCTGTAGGCAAGAGAGGCATGTACCTCATCCTAATCATCAGCATGCCAGAACACCTTTGAGTTAAGTCTGCACTGGAAATCTACATCCAAAACAGATTCAGTTGATATGTTTTTCCATCCCAGCTTTCAGAGTATTTGTCATTTCATTGTGAATTACAAAGACAATATGAACAGTAAGAAAATGCCCCAAGTATTTAAAAGAAACAACCTTATCAGTACTGGAATAACATGAAGAGGGGAAAAATCCTAAAACACAGGGCTATAGCTAGAGAAAGCTATCATTCCTTTTCAGGTCAAATGACATTTTGTGCTTGCTTTTTATTCTGGCAGGTCATGGAAGTCAAATAGCTCAGACAAAATTTGGAAATGCATGCATGCATGTTTTGTGACAATGCCTGAATGTGCTGTTGTAGGACACCTTATCTACATAATAGGCTTTATGGCTGAGTAAGTGAGCTGTTTTATTTGAGGTGGGGATCATTAGTATACCTTCCAACATTTTACTGATGAAAATGAGCACATGTATGGCCAATCAACATTAGGGTGTGTTTAATATGGCAAATGTTATTAATGAGGAAAGACAGACAAGCCAGGAGAAGTTGCAGCAGTTTACATTTGCCTAGTCCAACGGGGAAGGGCAAAACTTCACCCCCCTCCTGTCCTCTCCCTCCCTCCACTGACATAAACTATTTTACACTTTGAAATTAGTTTGCAGAAACTGAAGTAAGCAGAGAAAAAAAGGAGAAACTGGGAGGAAAAGAGAGAAACTGGGACATTTTTAAAAGTAGCTGTAATAGTGGGATGGCAGATTAGTTGGGGCCTCCTTTGGCAAATTAGAACAGTTGGAAGGTTTACAATAGTGTAGTGATAAACCTTTATACAAAGATTTATCATGACAATCTCCATAGTCATATTCCCAGAGGGAAGCTCTTTTAATCCATAACATTCTTGGATTTTCCTTCTCCCCATTTTCTTGTAAAGCTCATTGGACTTCATTGTCCATCCACTGTTAATTCATTCCTTCTCCCCAGTTACTATGGTTATTATAATTAATATTTACATTAAGCTGAGGGGGGGGAAGCAGATGAGGCCATGATTTATGCTAATGAAAATGTTCCAGTGTTATGACCCTGCTAGTTCTAGATCCACTACACTACTGGAAGAGGGATTCAGTCTTCCCATGAATGCACATGAATGACTATGGATGGTTAGAGATTGGAAGCTGAGAGAGTCACTCAAATCATGTGAAGTAACATTTATGTTTCTTATGTGAAGAAGCCAAGTGAGCTCAGGTGAGCTACAGCCTTGCCACATTATTCCTTCCATCCACCTTGCCATCTACATGTTCATGTAGATGCCTGAGATGGGAAAACCATTGTATGTAAACATTTCCCTATCTGTGTAAGCCTCCCTATATTTTGCATTCAGAAAATGGTGAAAGTGCCACCTGTAGAATGATTATGCTACTTCTGGTGCCATATTAGGAGAAAAGGGGAATATAAATCAAAATCAATCAGTATAACAGAGTGTATCAAGTAAAGGCTTCTCCATATCAGATAGATCAGATGGAGTTGTGCAGTATCAGGAGGATCTGCAAACTCTTGATCCACTGCTATTCTTAAAACTATTTATTTATATATTTATTTTCAGTCCCACTTTTTATCTAACACTGGAGCCAAGGCATCTACTGATGGACAATATAATTAGTATGGGTTTCCTTCAGTTTCTAGCTAAATTGCATTCCGCTCAAATTTGGAGAATTTTTAAAAAATATATGTGAAAAATCAATATGCATTTTATGTGTGTGGACAATTTCCCCATTATATGCTTCTTTGTAGATAGTTTTGTACCATACAGTACATACTCCTTACTTCAGCCTTCATCTGAATGATGATTTTGTATTGTGTATTTTTGATAATATTTTATGTTGGAATAAGAAATAAAGAATATTTTATAAAATATATGTTCAACATGATTTTTTATTTTTTTAAATAATTTTATTAGTCATTTAAAAACAAACATTTTTAAAATATCTTATTCATACAATCATAATCCTGTACACTCACACTCTTTCAATGTGATTTTAATTGTTTTAAATTTGTGTTTTTATTGGACTGGTTGCTCTTAAACATCTGCACTACATATTGTTTTAGCTAAATTTGTTTTATATTGTAACTTGTTTTGAATCCCTTGTTGGGAGAAAGGTGGGATATAAAATAGATAGATAGACAGAAAAATAATTGGATAGATGACTTATTTTGCCTATAGTTTTCCTAATACACATTTGGATTCTACCTGCATTAATCTACACATTAATGAACATACATGTGCATTTTCTTCAGATTTATTTCTTCAGAATATACCCATTTTGTACATTTTAAAAAAGTTGGAGTACTCATTTCCAAAAACCAGAGAAATATGGATTTCAAGAAAATTGAGTTTTGTTATTTGTTGAAATTTCCATTCTTTACCCCTCTAATAAAGAGGGGAAATAGATAAACCATCAATAATCCACACTAAATACACAGGAAGAACTTTCCAAAACATCCACTTTATTGATTATTTGATTAATTATTTTTAAATAATGTATGCCTAATTTTCAGCAGAAATGAAACCAACAATGTTATATTGCTTGCCTGGCACACAGCATCAAATAAACTTGAATAATGTCATTCTTAATTATGTCTGTTCTACAGTTTGCTGAAATATGAACTTCCTGGTGTAACATGATTTAAAATGGCTGATGTCTAAATGATCACATTTGGTACGCTAGAAAATGAAAAGATTAATGGGGAATAACATCTTTCATTATTAACTAAAAAAAGAGAGCAACTTTTATCATTACAAAACCTGAAAGCTTTTCAGTAACATGAGACTTTAAATAGGAAAGGCAGAACAGAAGTACTCTTTTTGGGCTCTGCCATAACCTTCTCTCCCTCTTTTACATCTGGATCCATTTATGTAAAGCACAAATTAAAAACTGGAGGTCTCTATCCCAAATTTGGCCTTCCTAGATTAGAATTTTAGCCTACCACTACAGTTATCAAACTAGAGGCAAAGGAACATGCCATTTGTTACAGTTCCTGTTATATATGTTCCAACAGTAACTGGTTCAAAAACAAGAAGATAGTAGGAATAAATGGACTTGAAATAAAAAAAAGGGAAGTAGTTGTCCCATTGACCTATGAGTGGGTATCATAAAGTTTCAATTATCACCTTTAAATTCTTTTGACAGAAAGTTTGTTTCAATTTGTAGTTTTTAACTTTTCTCTATGTAGTCATCATCTAGTTTATACATTCTCCTCAGGATTTCTTGACCCTCCAAATACCGTTATTGTAGAAGTCTGCAGATTGTGCCTTAAACCATTCTTCCACTCTATGAATGATGCCATTTGTGTTATTAAATCAGTGATCGTGCAAAGATTTTTTTATTTTTGGGAACAAGAAAAAGTCACTTGGTGCGACGTTAGGAAAATAAGGCAGATGCTGCAAAATCTCAAAGTCACATGCCCTTGCTTTGTTAACTGTGACTTGAGATGCGTGAGCTGGTGCACTGTCAGCTAGGAGATGAATGCCACTGGAGAGCATACCATGGTGTTTCTTTTTCAGAGCATCTCACAACTTGTCCAGAAGATGTACCAGTGGTGCTTTGTCCCTTTGCAAGGTAATCTTTAAGAAAGACTCCTCAACAGTCCCAAAAAAAACTGAGAACATGCCCTTCCCTGCTGACTTTTGCACCTTTGCCTTTTTGGGGGGAGGAGACTTGGCATGCTTCCACTCCATGCTCATGGTTTTGGCCTCTGGATCATACTAATAGATTCAAGATTCATCCATGGTTACCAGATGACCAAAAAAATCCTTAGTGTCAACATCTATCTTGAAAGGTCACACTGTGTTTGTTTCTAGAAAGGGGTTAGCAAACGTGGAACCCAGTGTGCAGACACCTTAGACACATGCAGTTCATCATGAATAACTTTCCACACACTACCATAACATAGACCAGTTTCATTCACGATCACTTGGATGGTTGCTTATCTGTCTTCCAGGATTAAACACTCCACTTTCTTCACTGTGGCCTCATCGTCCATCAATGATGTTCTCCCAGGTCTTGGCTCGTCTGTGAGGGACATGTGACCAGCTTGGAAATTCCTTTTCCACCTAATAATAGTGTCATAAGATGGCCAATCATTTCCATAAACTACCATCATCTCATCATTAATTTTCTGGGCACTATTACCCTTCAAATGCAAAAATTGTATTACGCTGTGAGCCTCAGTCCTCTCCATCTTACACTTTAGTCACTTCTGGCTGTAACAAAAATAAAGGACACAATGAGCTGATTTTCTCAAGATTCTGCACTTAGAGATTAATGATGACACTGACAAAATTTCATCAATATACCATAATAACTTCCTGGTGATAATTATTACTTTACAATACCCCCTATTGTTCATAAATGATCTGAAGTGAAATGTGAGCAAATAGTACTCTATGAATCAGTGTGGTAAAAACAGAAATGGAATGGAAAGAATTCTAAAGGACCTTTAGAAACTGGGCAAATGGGCCCTAAATTGCCAAATATATTTTCATCTAACAGTTAAGTTATGCTCTTGTCTTAAAACAAATTTGGCAATTTTTAAAAGAGTAAAGTTATGCAGAGCCAGCATGGTGTAGTGGTTTGAGCATTGGACTGAGATACCAGAGACCTGGGTTCGATTCCCCTTTTGGCCATGAAAACCCACAGGATGAACTTGAGTGAGTCACACTCTCAGCCCCAGAGAACCCTGTGGTAGGGTCACCAGAAGTTGTGAATGGTTTGAAGTCATAGCATTATAGAGTTGGAAGAGACCTCAAGGGTTATCAAGTCCAACCTCTTGTCATGCAGGAGTATGCAATCAAAGCACTCCCAACAAATGGCCATCCAGGATCTGTTTAAAAAAACTTCAAAGAAGGACACCCCATCACACTGATATAGCATATTTCACTGTCAAATAGCTTTGACTGTCAAGATGGTCTTCCTAATGGTGAGATGTTTTCCTGTAGTTTGAATCCATTGCTCTTGCTCCATCTTCAGTATGTCATCCTTTCAAATATTTAAACAAGTCTATCATATTACCTTTAATGCCCAGCATCCTAAGCCTCTCCTCATAGGGCATGGTTTCCAGACCTTTCACTCTTTTAGTTATCTTCCTCTGGACATACTCCAGCTTGTCACCCAACAACAATCAAGTTATGCATCTTCAGGCAAAAGTCAATCAGTCCTAACTTCACATGTGCATGGATGTGGTATAAACCTTGGGTAACTGAATAGTAAAGAGAGTTTGAAGTCATGATGGATTACTCTATGAAAATATTAACTTAATGCGTGGTCTTCCATGCTTGGTATTGTCCTACATTCATGTCCTGCTTGTAGCCACTGTGTGAGCAGGATGCTGTTCTAATTGCTCCTTTGGTCAGATCCAGCAGGATTCTTCTTGTGTTCTTGTTGAAACAGAATTTGCTAGCAGGGCATTTTTTTTTCCCACTGAAGGGAATTACCATCTGCCCAGGAAAGAACCCCAGACTGTTCTTATGCTATCTTGTCCCTTTAACAAAAGCATTTGTATATAGAAAACAGAAAATATATAACACTGATCTGCTAGTTTATTTGAAATCAAGCTGCTTTAAAGAACAATTATTAAGACTGTTTCAAATGGTGACTACCCTATAAGTGTGTGTGTATTCTCTGAAGATGCCAGCCACAGATGCTGGTGAAACGTCAGAAAGAAACTCTTCTAGAACATGGCCACACAGCCTGAAAAGCCCACAAAAAACTATGGTGTGTGCATATTTTGCCCCCCCCCTTCAATCATCAGCATATCATCTCTTGCTGCTGTCTCAATGGGTTTACAAAGAATCTAGACACTGATCAGGGATCTAAAGCTAAGTGACACAAAATGCAACTCCATTCAAGTCCAGTCTTATGAGACACAGCATATTTGACATATTCAATGAGGCACGATGACCCACCACAGGGTATCAGTATGGCTGTGTGGTGTGTGCATCAGCATCACACTTTGCCAGATGTGCTTCTTTAGCTGTGGAACCTGTTTCTGGAGAAAATGTAAAAAGAAAACAAATGTTGCAGGAGGAAAAAGGTTATTGAAAATGGCATAAGATATAGACATAATTTGTAGTGGTTTGAACATTGGACTTACTCTGGTGATCAGGGTTTAGATCCCAATTCAACCATGGAAACCCACTGGATATAGGATGGGGGACACCTGGCTTAATGCGACTATGTGTGAAAGGGATCTAGGAGTCCTAGCAGACCACACGTTGAACATGAGTCAACAGTGTGTGATGCAGCAGCTAAAAAGGCAAATGCAATTTTAGGCTGCATCAATAGAAGTATAGTGTCTAGATCAAGGGAAGTAATAGTGCCACTGTATTCTGCTCTGGTCAGGCATCACCTGGAATCTTGTGCCCAATTCTGGGCACCAAAATTCAAAAAGGATGTTGACAAACTGGAATGTATCCAAATGAGTTGACTAAAATGGCGAAGGGTCTGGAAACCATGCCCTATGAGGAACGAGTTAGGTATGTTTAACCTGGAGAAGAGATGGTTAAAAGGTGATATGATAGCCCTGTTTAAATATTTGAAAGGATGTCATATTGAGGAGGGAGTAGGGTTGTTTTCTCCTGCTCCAGAGAACAGGACCCAGAGCAATGGATGCAAGCTACAGGAAAAGAGATCCTACCTTAACATTAGGAGGCACTTCCTGACAGTAAGGGCTGTTTGACAGTGGAACACACTCCCTTAGAGTCTGGTGTAGTCTCCTTCTTTGGAGGTTTTTAAAAAGAGGCTGGATGTCCATCCGTCAGTTATGATATAAGGTGTTGGTTATTACCTTTAAAGCCCTAAATGGCTTGGGTCCACCTTCGGAACCACCTCCTCCCATACAATCCACCCCATGCACTCAGGTCCTCTGGGAGGAACCTGCTATAGCCAATGAAAAAAGGCTGTAAGCAACCTCCTAGAGGACCTTCTCGGCAACCGTTCCTAGATTATGGAACGGCCTGCCGGATGAGATCCGTCAGATTACAACCTTAAGCAGCTTTAAAAAGGCTGTTAAGATGGATCTCTTCCAGCAGGCCTTTCTTGACTAGATTTCCTGGCCTTAGGAGTCTTCTCATCACTTTCTCTCCCACCTTTGGCTGTAATTGCTGTTCTGTCTAGTATTATCTGTTTGTCTGTTGATTTTTGTTCATTTTGGTGTTTTAATTAACATGTTTTAATGGTAATATTGGTTTAATACTTTTTAAGGGGTGGGAGGGTTTTGGGATTTGGATTGTATTTTAATATATTGTATGGAATTTTAGTGGCTGTAAGCCGCCCCGATTGTTTGATAGAGGGGCGGGATACAAATAAAATTATTATTATTATTATTATTATTATTATTATTATTAAATTTGATTGGGAGTTCCTGCATGGCAGGGGGTGGACTGTGTGGCCCTTGTGGTCTCTTCCAACTCTATGATTCTATGATTCTATGACCTCGGGGAAGTCACACTCTCCCAGCCAGAGGAAGGTAAGCGCAAATTCCCTATGAACAAATCTTGATAAGAAAAAAGATAGGTTAGGGTCACCATAAATTGGAAACAACTTGAAGGCACACAACAGCAACAACAATAAGCATATACCCACTTAGCATCATTTTAGACTATACTGAGATAGATAAACTGCTATTGCAATGGCCCGTGTCCTAAGCCCCCCCCCCCATGTTACCTGAATATAAAATTATCTTGAAATTCAGCTTGCTGAAGTGTTGAAAATCTGTTAGTTTCATAATGTGTGGAAGAAACTGTCAATGAATGCATTTATATGCAGTGGTGTCACTAGGGCTGGCATCACCCAGTGTTGTAACTCATGGTGTCACTCCTCCATTGACCTCCTCCCATTCCACACAATACAGAATCCTTTGTTATATTTTATGTGCCAATGTTACTCATAAATTGTACTTCCCATATATCACTGAATGGAATAGCAATAGTTGTAAAATAAACAATTAGCAAAATTTAAATTATATCTTTAAATTGCAATATCATATGCACAGCCTAAATATATTTACATGTACATTGTTTCATGTGGTTAAAGTGAAAACCTGGTAAGATGTGATTTTTTAAAAAAAAGAATAAAAATTAAAAATATTTTTAAAAAAATTTAAAAAAAAATCTGGGGCCTCTCCTTTTTCTTCCCATGGGGTCTTGCCCCACTCACACCATTTTTTCATCATTTTAAAGCAGTGGTGTCACCCCCCCCCCCCCCCCCGCCCTTAGGGTGTCACCTGGTGTGATCCACACATCCTGCACCGTCCATGTAATGGTCCTGTTTATATGGCTGTAATGAAATTGAAATATGCCACCAAGCAGTTGCATTTCTGAGTTATTGTTAGCATCATGGTCAAATGTTAACAGCTATCCAATGGCATGAAAAGATTTATTTCTATTATTGATCTTGTTGGGTATTTTTTCACTTTGCAGCCAGAGGCTGGGAAAAAGTATAAAGGCTGAGAACGGATGTAGAAATTAACTTTTCTCCCTTGTTAACACAGTTCTTGTAGCTGTTGGGTTGGGGAGGGGTCATGCTTGCACACTTAGGTTTTCTTTGCTTCTGCACAATGTAAATTTTGATAACCCCTCTTCAATTTGTCTCCATTTGTCTTCTATTTGGGGAGGGAGTGCGCCCCAACCCAGGCACCCAAATATAGAGATTTGATTTGATTTTCTGAAGGATTGTTGTACATCTGGGTAGAGTTCAAGTGAGGGGTCAATTCCACCATTGGCTATGAGGGGTGCTGGGCCCCATCAGCAAAGGGACAGAATTTTTATCTGCTGTGTACCATATGCTGCACCATTCACTGTCAATAAAACTTATGCTATACGAGAATGTATGTCATTGTTTGGCCCTGGAAATGCACCTAAATCATTGCAGAAACAGGCTTTTGGGGGAAAAAATTCCTTTGGGTGCTTCACAGGAAAAATAAACACAGAAATACTAAAATCCTCTGCTAGAGGGTTCCTCCTCTGCTTTCCACTATTGGAAGCAATGCCTTTTATGTTGCCCTAGAAGATGGCCCAAATTATGAAAGAACTCAAATCAACATTGTGTCTGGGTGGGTATATAATGAGGGAGGTTAAAATCAAGGTAAACTGTTGCAAGTGTTTATTAGTTCCTTTGGAGTAGAAGCATGAGACAAGAAGGCTATTTCTTGTTGCTGATAAATACCATCAAGGCAGTTTGGACTTAAGCTGATCCTTTGAATGAGAGACATCCAAGATCCCCTATCATAAACAGTCATGTAGAGTTATTGCAAGTGCAGGGTTATGGCTTCCTGGATTAAATCACCTGTAATATGGACCTCTTTTTTAATTTTGCCCTCCACTTTACTGAGCATTATCATCCTTTCCAATGAATCATGTTGTCTCATGATGCATCCAAAGTATGAAAGCGTCCTTTTTAGTCATTTTGGCTTCCAGTGAGAGTTGTGGCTTGATTTACTTTTTGCCCCATTTATTTTTCTGTTTGGAAGTTCACAGTATTTGTAGATAGTTCCTCTATTGTTCCATTTCAAATGAGTTAGGTGGCTATATTTGTTGTTAGCAGCCTTTGAGTTGACTTTGATTCATAGCAACCCTGTGGATCAGATATCTCCAAGTCCCCCTATATCCCACTGCTCTGCTTAGGTCT